ATTACGGAACGGCCCTCAGCGATTTCTCATGCTTCACCAGGGAGCTTGTGGACCCCATTTTGCTGCCGGAGGGAAAAACTGTCCTGGATGTGTTCAAGGTTTGCTTCGACGATGACGCTTCCCTGTTGGAGGAGTATCATAAGGCGCGAAATGACACCAAACAAAAGTGGGAGCCGTGGCGACCTGCGAATGCCGGCAGCCCGCCGTTTTCGGGCCAAAGAAAATTCACGTGCACAACGACAATTAAGGCTGTGGTGTCCAAGTCGTGCCCATTTACAGAATACCAACGGTACGCGTTTATGAATGTTGGGGGCAATAAGCCAGCCCTGGTTGTGCAGCTGTCAGGGCAAGCTGAGGGGGTTATGTTTGCGGACGCTTTCCGTGCGGAGGCATTGTTGATTTTTACCCAATCCGATTTAGGCGTGGCCATGCGCGTGCTTGGTCACATTCAGTTCCTTCGGGATGTGTGGGCGAAGGACAAAATTCTGCGTTCTTCACTTGACACAGAAATGCCAGAGTGCTATCGAAAACTGGGGTCTATGCTGATAGAACGTCTTCAGGGGGACACTGTTGGTTCTTCAGAAGTAAGAGGGCGTATTGAGTCGAGTCCGCCGCCAATATGCACTGTAGAGCCACTTAAAGTTTCATCTCACGTGGCTGGTGCGGTATGGAAACCTGTCGTATTTATTGAGTTTGTATTGGAGATAATGAGTGGACTAGTATGCGTCAATGCAATTTTTCACGCGTACTTTTTTGCCGTTTCTAAACCTGTGATTGGTGTTCAGAGTACCCTGCCTAGCGGAAGTGAGGCATGTAGTGCTTTAGCTGATGTTGAGCAAGCATTGAATAATGACGCATTGTTTTCTTTTTTTGTGGATCTAGTTCGTCCCATTTTTCTTGCATCCCTATTTTGTTTACTGTGTGTTCTACACGGCTATATGCGAACAACCCTTGCGCGTATGGCGTAGCGAAAATCCGAAGCGGAAAAAAAAACAATTTCTGTTTACCACAAAACCAACAACGACTCAGTTTACCTATTAAACATACACACAGGCCTTAATTCTGCTGTTGCCTTCGAACCCGAGACGTCTTTGTTGCCCCTTCGATTTTTGCTGGTGCCTATTTGCAATAAGGTGGGGAATGGGAGGCTGGCAGGTGCAGCGGCCTATTCGTATCTAGAACACCAGCAGGTATTGCCACGGAAGGACATGACCTCAAGTAGGAGCCTTAGCGCTCCTCCTGGTGGTGCTCGCCTTTCCAGTGATACAAATCACTTTGGGTATCGCTGGGGGGAGTTGAGTGTCGGGGGGCCTTCACCGTCAACCCCGTCCTTGAGCCCGTGGCGCAGCAGAACGCCGCCGGATGCCGAGTGTGGGGGGCCCGCCGAGTGGCGGCAGAGCCCTTACTACGGCGGGAATCGTCACGGACCCCACGCTCGCCGCAACTATGGTGGTGTCTACTACAGACGCAAGCAACATGGGCTGCCTCGGAGCTATTCCAGTAGTGGCGTCTATGCTGAGGGCGGAGACGACCCCCTGTTTCCGGAGCAAGGAAGGGGTGCGCGGTTTGAAGCGCTTCGCAGTTTTTCTATGCCCGCTTCATCTCGGGGGACATCCTACGCTGTCTCCCCGGCTCCAGGCTCTCGCCACGAGGGACGCTTCTCTGAAGCTCTCGGCTCTTTCGCTGGTGCCGCCAAAGGCATTGCCGAAATACCGCCTCTGCTTGCCTCGGCCATGTCGAAGCAGCAAATTACGCGAGTTCGTGCCTCGCTACAAAGCAGCACAACCCCTTCGCAGGGCGGAGTTAGACTGAAGCTAGTGGAACTGCTGGAATACTGGATGAGTGACGCCTTAACAGGGACCGCCGTTGAGGAGTTGATTGCTGAGGTCTACCAGGAAGCAGGGGCTCGCGGGGAGTCATCCTCTGACAGAGGGGAGGAGCAAGTGTGCGTCTAGTGTGGGGAGTGCTGCGAAGGCGGCAGGCGGGCGACACGCGCAGGAGAGCGAAAAGGTGCGGAGTTCCAACTGTGCAGCGTCAACAGCGCCGTCGCCCCCCTCCTCCTCTTCGCCCTCCTCTTCCTCGTTGACACCCGTGTCGCTCCGTCGCTTTGGCGTCAAAACCGAGGAGGAAGGGGCGGCGGAGGCGGCGGCCAGGCAGCCGAAGGAAGCACAGAGACAGTGGAGAGGGAAGGAGGCGGTTGCTGAGAGGAACCGTGCGGCCGATGTGACTCCGGCCAGTAATGGACGTCGGGTTTTGCCCTCGGGCCCCACTCCCGAGGGGGAGCCAGGGACGACGGGGTCGGACCCGCGTTCAGCGGCGGAGCCGACAACCTTGCCGCCACCGACGGCCGCTCCGCAAGCTCCTTTGCAAAGTGAGGCGACATACGCGCATGTACCACGTTTTTATTTCCCCAACGGCGTACGACATTTGGCAGAAGAGACGCTTGTGGGGCCCGTAAGGAAGGCGCATGAGAACCCACACTTAAAGCCTGTGGAAGGGATGGTGATTCCAATGGCGGTCTATACAAGCTATGAGGACATGGCCACTACCATGATCGGCGATGTATTCAGGCAGCCGGAGGTCAAACGACCTCCAATCGCCTCATTGCGGGCGGTGGAAGACGAGGATGTTCAGCCATTTATTCGAAAAGAATTTGCTCGTCTTCCAAAGCCTCCTAAAGTTAGTCAAGGCACACGCCTTCCAAGTTCCAGTGCGAAGGGATTCACAGGCCTCAACAATGTCATGCATAGCAGGCAAGGATTGAACTACCGACTACAACTAACGCAGGCAATGAAGCTCATTTGTACACAGTGCTTTGGTCTACCAAAGTACTTTGCCTTCCTCATAGTCAAAATCCTTCAAGTAAACGTGGATTTTGGGCATCTGGCGGTGCAGGCTGTACGAGGTAGTTTCTCCATGACCGCAGCAGATGCGGTTAGGCTCCCCTCTTCCCTCTCCCAGACAGAGTGCATGGTGCAACAGCTACAGCATTTCTTTGACATCTGCCTGCGTGGGCGTTGCATTGTTCGCCGCGTCTTTGAAATATTAATGCTTAGCTCTCTTGTTGCGACAGGCGGGTCAGAGAATTCGACGCGAGGCGGCGGTGGTAGTAGTGGGCACAGGTTCGCGCAGGACGCGGCGAGGGAGCGGCAGCGGTCGTACCTGCTGCCAGGTGACTTTTGTGCGTACCTCGAGGTGCTGCTCGAGCATCACCCGGGTCTTCTCTTCCTGAAGCGGACCCCCGACTTTCAGTCCAGGTATCTAGAGACGGTCATCTATCGCATCTTCTACGACCTTGATCGCTTTAACCGTGGGCGCATCACGTACGCTGAGCTGGAGTGCTCTTCCCTGCTAGACGCACTTCGGCAGGTGGACGCGACAAACGACATCAACGCGGTTTTGCTCTACTTTTCCTACGAACACTTCTACGTACTCTACTGCCGCTTCTGGGAGCTCGACGAGGACCGGGACATGCTGCTCTCCCGCGCGGAGTTTATGAGGTACGCCCCGGCCGGTATGATGAACCCCGTCATCGCCGCACGCGTGTTTAGCGGCGCTGGCCGCCGCACGACTTGCGAGCGCAGGGACCGCATGAACTACGAGGACTTTGTTTGGTTCTGCCTCTCCGAGGAGGATAAGTCAACCCCCACGGCGATCCGCTACTGGTTCCGCATCCTCGACCTCGATGGGGACGGGGTCCTCTCCGCCTACGAGCTGCGCAGCTTTTACGACGCGACGAGAGAAAAGCTGGCGGCCCACGTCCCGGACGGGGGCGTGCCATTTGAGGACGTGATCTGCCAGATATTTGACATGTTTGCCGTGGAGGCGTCGTGCGGGCTGCGGCTTGAGGTGCTTCTGGCGAAGCCGGAGGCGGCGGCGGTGGCGCTGAACGTGGTCACAAACGTGGTTCGCCTGCTGCAGTTCGAGCAGCGGGATCCGTTTGTCACGCACCAGGACCGGCTGGAGGGGGGCCTGGAGCAGTCGGCGTGGGACCGCTTTGCGCGTGCCGAGTACGACCGCCTCTCCAGCGCGCGGGGGGAATGAGAGTGACACCGGCGCGGCCAACCGAAAGAAAAGAGGTTTGCGTACACAAACTACAGCAACCCCCCAAAAAACAAACAAACAAAAGAAGTCTACATGTGTATACAAATTTATGCATGTATGGATATTATACCCGTTTCTTTATTCCTCCCCCCCCTTTTTTTTTGAGTTTGCTGCGGTTTGTGTAAGCAAGCCTCTTTTCGTCTTTTGCTGGTACTTCCTCACTGACGAGTTTCTGTTGGTGGTGGTGGTGGGGCGCGTCTTTGCCTCAGGCCGGCGGTGTATAGATAGTGTGAGAGAGAGAAGGTTTGTGTGCGTGTGTGTGCGTGTGTCTGAGCCTCTGGACGTGGAAATATGTATAGTAACATATATTTGTATACGTATATATATATCTCACTCTCTCTCTCTCACACACACACACACACACACACACACACTGTGTTTCTGCCCTGGGTGCCCCGTACATGTTATTTTTAATCCGGCTTGTGTTTGACGTTGTTTGTTTGCGTGCTTTTGCGCGTGTATATCGCACTTGCGCGGAGCCCATGCAGCATTGGAAGGACGCACAAAAACTAGTGGGAAGAGAAATGAGGTCGAAATGTCTCTTGCATTTTTTTTTCGTTTCGCTTTGTTTGTTTCCCTCTTTTTGCTTTATGCTTATACCCTTACACTGGCAGAAATTTCTATATATACTTTTATCGCTCCCCCGCCTCGCTCCCACCGCGCGCGCGTCCTCTCTCTCTCTCTACATGCAAGTACGTATGTATGCACACATATACATATATATATATCTCTCTCTGGGGCTGGGCAAGCCCGCCCTGAATAGCATACGCCAGGACCTCAATGGATGCCTTTGTTTTTTTTTGTGTTTTTTTTGTATTTGATGTTTCTCACTTTTGCCATTGTTTCCGCCTTCTTCCTGGGGCCCCGCGTGGTCGCTGCCTGCAGGCGACGGGCAGCTGCACCGCTTCTTTTCCCTACACCTGTCCGTCTGTCGGTTGCTCACTTCTTTCTTGACGGTGGTGTTTTGTCGTTACCCTCCCGCGCCACCTTTTCGCCATCGCCGGATGGCCTCCTACCGTCGCGGGAGTGGCCACGCATAGAGCGGGGTGGGGGGAGGGGGGGCGCGGCACGACGGTCCTGCCTTGACGGCATTTCACCTTCGCCGTGCTGGTTCCCTCCCGCTCTCCCTCTCCCATACACGCACATGAGCTCCTATTGTCCTTTCTTCGCCCGCTGATTCACGGCGAGCGCGGTGGTGCCGGTGGAGCGAGCGATGGGCGAGGAGGAGGAGGGCAACGGGAGGCGAGTGCGTCAGAGCGTCGTGTGCTCTCTCTCTCTCTCTCTCTCTCTCTCTCTCTCGTGTGTGTGTTTGGTGAAGGGAGCTTCCCCCTGTGGGATTCGCTTGTTGCGTTTCTTTCAGCCTGTCTGCGCGGGCGTGTATATTCAGCGCATGCACACATGCGTGTATAGATGTGCGTATGCACACACAGTCAGCTTGTCTACTTCGCCTGCTTCTTCTCCTCCTCCTGCGTTGCAGTTTTCCATCCCCGTCTCCCCGTTTGTTATTCCCGTTTCAGCTGCAAAAAAAAAAGCGCAGAGGGAGCGGCGGTCGTACTTATTTCTTCCTTTTTTTTTCTTGTTTTTTTTTATTTTTGTGCTGGCCCTCCACCAGAAAGGAGGGGGTTTTTTCTGCCACGGGCTACCCTGGAGTGGCAAATGCGCACGGTGCGGCTCTCGCTCAGCACGGCAGCGGCATCCGCGTCGCCGCCGGCGAAGGCGGCCGGAAACGTCGCTGCTGCGGCCGATAACCCGCGACGGGCGTTTGCCCCACTGCGCATTCACGCGTGGCAGCGGGGCTGTCTGGGGGCTTCGCGGGAGCAGCTACTGCCGCCGTCCCTGCTGTACCACGGCGCCCAGCTGGGCCCACGCCCCCTCATCATCCTCGACCACACCACTACGGGGCGGGGCGGCGGCGGCGGCGGCGGCGCAGAAGTACGAGTCCGTGCTTTCCCAGCTCTCGTGGGAGCACGGCGCCGTGTACGTTCCACTGCAGGTGGACTACGCGGCGACGACCAGGGGCGTCATAGAACACAACTGCCAGCAGGTCTGCGCCGTGCTGGACGTGCTGGATGTGCGCTGGACGCATTTCCTGACGCACTCCTACGGCTGCCTCGTCGCCGCGTACATGGCGGCCTCAGAGGCGTTCCCGCACCGCATTGGCACCTTCATCTCGCTCGATACGCCGCTGATGACCCGGGCGCTGCTGCAGAACACGCAACAGCGGGAGGAGATTGCCAAGGCGGAGCGCGACGTCAACGTGCCGGCCGCGGACCTGTCGTTCGCCAAGGAGAGCTTGATGTCCTCGTTGGAGGAGCCGCTGCCGTGCCCCGCCGAGGCCGACGCCGGCTTGTACCACGACTATCTCTTTAACCCTGCGGCGGTCTTTCGGCACGGCGGGCTTGTGCGCTGCGAGGAGCGGTACGTGCCGGTGAAGCACCTGGCCGACGTGCGGCACCCCATGCAGCTGGTGGTTCCCGCCGCCAACGCCGTGGCAGACGCGGCGGTGCACAAGGAGTTTTTTGGCCTGCGGCGGCCCGTCGTGTTGAAGGGGTGCCAGCGCCACGAGGAGCTCTTCCAGGAGGAGGGGGCAAAGGAGCTGGCGAAGGTGCTCGAGGCGTGGCTGCAGCGGTTTGAGCCCGACGCTTACCTCGCGAAGCGGTACGAGCAGGCCGCGAAGGAGATGTCGCAGCTGATGATGAGCTCCACCCCGGCCACTGCAAAGCCGGAAGCTGCTGAGGGGGGCGAGCAGCGGAAGAAAAAGAAGGAAAAGAAGAAAAAGGCGTAGTTCTGTCTCTCTGTGTGTGTATGCATGCCCAGTGCGAGGGTGCGTGAAACCCCCTATCTGAGAGGCGGGTTGATGCCCAGGGCGTTGCTGCGTTGCCCTTCAAAGAGGAAGTGCACTGGCACTTCTTTTTTGTTGTTGTTGTTATTGTGCACTGGTGGAGTTGTAGGAGGAATGCGAGGCGCACACATCCGTCTCTGCGTCCCTGGGCAGGTGGTGGGGATCGCTGCTTTCACAGACAGAGGCGGGGTGGAGGAATGAAGTGCGCAGCATCGACGCCTGTACACGTTGTGGTGGTTTCTGTCTTTGCTGCGGCCTACTACCGCACACCCCGCTTCGCCGGGGGATTTTCCTTGCAGCAGCTCTGCTGTTTCTTTACCATCATTGCACCTAATATATATGCATATATTTGCCTTTCCCCCGCAGCAAGGTATTGGCAAAGTACAACTAGCAGGCACCCACACCCACACCCACCCATCTGCCTCTCCACATCTACACCTGCATACTTGTCCACACCGGTGCCGCAGCAGTAGTTGCGTCTGTGTCTGCCAGCCTGTGTGGGGGGAGGAGAGAGAGAGAGAGAGGGTGGGGCACGCATGAGGGTTCCCATCTTCTCTCCGCATGGCTACAGCAGCCACGCGAAGCGGGCCTTCGGGAGCGGCTACTGCGTGTACGCTCCAACGCCGGAACATTTCGGCATGTTGCTGTCGGGCGTTGGCGAAGATGCCCTGCTCCGCCCCGGCGCGGGTCCGCCTACCTCGGCGGACGCCAACGACGTCGCTCTCCTGGACGCTGCAGTGTTGGCGTCCGCGTTGTCTGCGCCGTCGGGGTTTGTGACCATCCGACGCTTCCAGGCGGTCGCAGGCAGAGACGCGGCGTCCACCGGGGGCACTGCTGCCTGGACGCCGGTGTCCCCGCGAGGCGGCGGTGTGGCCGGCGGGGACTCGCCGTCGGCTTGCGCCGTTGCTGCCTCGGGGCGGTTTGCGTCGTCCCCGGCCGCGGCCGCGGCCATGACCCCGACCATCACCTGCAGGCTGGGCAGCACGTGCTGGTGCAGGGAGCCCTCCCACGCCGAGCCCGCCGCCGACGCGCGGCTCCGTCAATACTTCAGGGAGGCTGTGGTGGTGCCTCTGGCGACGATGCGGCTGCTCGGGGTGGAGGAGGGTGCCCTGGTGCAGCTCAGCTTCCACAGTGAGGAGACGGTGCTGGCGGCGTCCACGGTGGTCTTTGCCCTCGTGTCGGACGGCGTTGGGGAGGAGCTTTCCTTTGACAGCTACATGCGCCACTTTGTTGCCCCCTTCTTCATTCAACGCCGCCGCGCCGTCAGCGTTGGGGAGGAGTTCGAGATCAGGAACCACGATCAGGGCCGGCTGCACGTGACGGCGGTGGCGCTCAACGACGGACTGCTGAAGTGTGGGATTGTGGCAGATGACACGCACGTGCGCCTGGTCGTCCAGCCCGCGGCACCGCCGCAGCTGCAGGGCCGCGAGGGCAGCTCCGCCTCCGAGAGCCCCACGCCGCGGCCACGTGCCCGCTCCGCCGGAAGCGGACGGAGCCTCGGGCGGGAGGCCTCGGAATCGCACGCGGTGCTGGGAAGGCCGCCGCGCGTGCACGCCCCCACGCTCCCGCGGGCCACCCGCAGTGCCGAGCCGCACGGCGGCCCCGCCTCCTTTCCCATGTACGCGCCCCAAACACTGGAGCTGCGTGAGGCGCGGCTGGCGCACCGGAAGCGTCCACCCACGGCGTGCACCGGCGCGAAGAGTGTGGGGGCCGCTGCGGAGTCAGTCGCGGACGCCGACCCCGCCAGCAACGCCTACGATGCCACCACCACAACCGCCGCCGCCGCCTTTGTTGCGGCTGCGGGTGACGCTGTAGACACTGCCAACGTCGCCTCGACTGAGGCCGCGACGTTTCCTTTGAAGGATATGCCGTCGGGGACGCGTGAGGTTGGCACGCAGTGCGACGAGGCGCGTGCATTTGGGGTCGAGGAACCCGGCGGCTCAGGCGGAAACGACGCGACGGAGCCAGTCCCGTACGATTACAACGCCGCTGAGGGCACGCCGATGCAAGAAACCGGGGCCCAAAGCGAGCCGCATTCAGTTTGCGTTTCCAACGTTGTGCCATACCACTGTGACCTCGCGGAGAACGCCGAGACGCGGCCCAAGCAGCTGCCGGCGCTGCCGCGCGACGCCGCGTGCAGGGCCCACCGGATTGTGGAGAGCTGGCTGGCGGTGAAGGCGCAGTGGCAACAGCTCTCCATCAGCCCCCTGCTCAAGCGTGAGTCGTACGCCGCCATCAAGGAGTTCCAGCATTTCCTTGCGGTCTACAAGGAACTCAGGCAGCGACACGCGGACTGTCTTGCCTACCTTGATTCCCCCTATGGGCACACCGTGCGTGGGGATTTGGTCCTCCGCGTCTCGCTGCTGCCGACGGCGGCAAAGCTGGAGGGTGGCAGCGGCGGTGCGGTGGAACCGCCGTGGCGGCGCAGCGAGACGCACAGCGCGAGTGGCGCGGCAGACGACGAGGATGCCCAGAGCACTCGCACGGCCGGCGCGAGCGGCGGGTCAGAGACGGTTGCCCTGGCGGCGGAGCTTCTGCGGCTGAGCCTGCGTGAACTCAGTGCCGCGTTGCGGCGCGACGTGTTGCACGTCTTCCGCGTCGGCGGCACGTGTCCTGCGCTCTACTGCACGCTGATGACGCCCTGCAACGACGGCCCGGGCGAGGTGACGCTTCTGGGCGCACCGTGCCCAGTGGAGGTGCTGCGGACGACCATCCTGGAGGACCTCTGCGAGGCGCGAGAGGAGAGTCGTCGCGAGTGGCTGCAGCTCGCCGCACAGTGGAAGGAGGCCGTGTCGGGCGTGCTGCAGCTCGGTGTCTTTACGACGCAACTGCAGACCGTGCGGCAGCTTTTCCTGGAGCTCGCCCGCCTGCTGCACTACCCCGGCGAGGTGCAGCGCAGCGCCAGCTACCGGCGACGCGTCTTTCCCCACCCGCCCGGCGGCGGCAGCGAGGATATCACGGCGGCGATGCCCACGGCAAAGGGGCTCGCCCCTTCAGTCCCCTGCGAAGGATTCCTTCCATACCTGCAGGAGCTGCAGGACGCCTACTACCTCTTCGTGGAGCTCCTCGAGCCTTTTGTACTGCACTCCCTGCAGCAACTGCGCACCATTTCCGCCCTCACGGACGCGATGCGGTGCAGTCAGCTGGTCGAGTTTCTCCGCGTCAGCTACCAGGCGCAGATGGCGGGTCAGAGGACGGGGGTGGAGGCAGAGCGAGCGGCTTTCGTGGCCCTGGTGGAGGCGCGTAGGGCCGGCGCACTTATGCCGCTTCCCACGGAGTGGTGGGAGGCAGACGGTGCGGGCGGCAAACTCAAAGTTTCAGCTTGACGTCTGGCGGCGGGGGAGCGAGGGAGGGAGGGGGTGTCTCGCTTGCGCAGGAGCCCGACCAGCGGCAACAGAGGGGGAGAGGCGACGTCGTGAGGGGCGCCTCACGCAACAAAATGCGCCCGTGCCCCCGGCGCTTGCCTCGCTCTGCACCCGCTGCCTTATCGAGTAGCTTTTATTTACTGTTATTTACCATCGGCAATATTTGTGGAATTTTTTTTATTTCTTCCAAGTGCTTGTGTGTGTGTGTGTTGCTGCCGATTCCAGCTTCGCGAGTGTGCGTGTTTCCAGCGTCCCGTTTTTTTAATTTCTGTTTTTTTGCCGCAGGCGCCATGCATCACGCTTTTGTTTTGTTTTATAGCCCTTCCATTATTTTATCAGTCAAAGTTTGTTGCTTTCGTTTGTTTCCCGAAGTCCCGCACATCTCATGC